TCTTCCCTTCCCCTGTTGACTTAGAAACACTTTTAAATGCCCTTCCTTTCTCTCCAGGGAGAAAACCTCTGTCAGATTTTGGATGCTTATTCAAAACTGTAGTCAAAATTTTCATAAAGCTTTTTAAAAGCACTTCATTTTTTTCCTACTAATACCTCTGAAGGTATTCAGCATGTTATTGCTCTTCCTGCTTGGAAAATATATCAAAAATTTTTTTTTTATTTTTTCCTAATGTACAGACACTGGACTGGGATACAGGAGCCATTCATACCTTCCCTGTCTCTGGAATGACATTAGCCATGTTTCTCCTCTTTGTAAAGCACCTGAGGTTTAGCTGTGAGAAGCGTTATTTAAGTTGTTACTACTGTAGAGTCACTTTGAAGTGAGACGTGGTTATATGGCTGTCTTCACACTGCTGTTCCCAATTGTTGGTAGCAGTACGGCTGTTTCTGCACTCCTAGCCCTGCAGCGGTAACGACGGCAGCTTCCCGGCTTGCGCTGGAGGTGACATCACAGGGCTGCTTGACAACCTTAGGTCCTCTGCTGCAGTTAAGAGCTGGAGAGGCTCCCACAGGCTCTTCTGCACAGTACAGGGGACTGACAGACTGCCCGTAGTCCTGAGAGCAGCTAGCTGATGGGGCGCGTCACTTTTTTGTTTGCTGGAGTAGTAGATTAACCAGAGTATTTAGGCTTCCTACTTTCCAGTGGAGTCTGTAGGAGGTGGGATTAAATCCTTTTACTGAACCCAGCCTTCAAGGCCTACTAAAGCCAAGTGCTTGATGCATGTATTTAGCAGAAGTCCATCCCCCTTAGGCACAGCATGGCATCAGCACATTTAAACACATGCTTAAAGTTAAATCCATTTACTGCCGTGGTAACAAGCATGCACGCTACCCGTCTCCCTCCCCCTATAAATCAACAGTGCATTAATTCGTCAGCCACAGTGCATGAGCGCATTTGTTAGATGCACCTAGTACTTCATTCATCATTCCTGAATGTCAGCAGTCAAAGCTTTTGAGGGTTCATGTGCTTTGGGGTGGTTATTCCAGGTTACCTTTCTGGAACAGCAAATGTATGCTGCAAATGCCAGTGCAGTAAAGTGAGAAACTAGGAAATAAAATCTTAAACAAAAATAAGAAGATTGGAAAAAATAAATCAAACTAAAATAAAACACAACAAAAAATGCCCATCTGGTGCATAGTAGCATTTTTTGGAAAACCCTCAGAAATAAGCTGTAGTTCCATTGAGATGTCAATGAACTGGTTTATGTTTGTTTATATGTTAGAAGCATTGAGGATATCCAAGGTGAAATAGGGGGCTTAAAATCACAGATTCTTTCTTAGCTGTTTCTCTCTGGTTACGTACATGCTTTCAGGGCACACTTTTAGGAGCTTGATCTTAGTCAGCAATCTCAGTAGGCAATAGCAGAAGACTTGCCAGGATGGTCATTTCCTCTGTGGCATGACCGTCACTGGGGTGGGCATCCCCCTTCCCTGACTATTAAAGGAATGTGTATGCACCTAGTTTATACTAACCTTTTTGTTAGCCGAGATCATCCCAGGGACTGCATGCATGGCCTTAGGAGCGTGTTCCTTTGTAGGACAGCAAACACCTAAATGTTTGTGGGTAGGTTTAAGGAAACAGCCCGTGCTGTTTACTGGATCAGGCTTTGTCATCCCTCCCCTCTCTCTCTAGGAGTACCTACGGTCCAAGAGGTGGACCAGGTTTCTGTCTTGTGACAGAAGGATTGCCCCTGTCACACAGTCTCACTTCTCACAGTCTGTTACAGTTCCACAGTAACTTCTGAATGAAAGCATATATATACACACACACATATCCCCCTGTGTATGAGGAAGAGCATCTAATGTGTCCTATTTCAGATTCCTTGATATCTTTATATTTTACAAGATCTTCCAGAAGTTGTTTTCCATTGACCTTCAACTGCCAGCAATACTTGTAGCATTTTCTTGGCCTTGTTTGGACTCTGGTGGGGAAAAGGAGGCTTCAAGGCATAGCTCTGCATGGTAGAGTTTTAACTTGTCAACTGTGTAGCACAGTGAAGGGTCATTTAAAGAGCCTGCTCTTTTTCATATTACTGTTTCTTGATACAATAGCGACGCATTTCAAAACAATGACTCCAGGCATAGTCTAGGTCTTCAAGAGTTGTGAAGAAGCAAGTTGCCAATGTTTTATGCTTAGCGTCCTGACGATACCTTAGCTGTGTGGCTTCTCTTCAGCCGTTAAGGTGTAATGGGGTTTTAGGCTGTTGATCTCTCTATGGGTACAAGCACCGCAGCTTTATCTGAGTGTAAGTAGTGAAGATGAATCCCTATGGGAAAGTAGTACTGATTTCAGATAACCGTTGTGTATTTAGGGGCTAGCCACGATTTGTCTCCATAGATACTTTTTAATGGAAAATTCACTAGTTTAGTGTTAAAATTCTCCTGCTTTGTCTTTAAAATGGAAATGGTTTCCTTGGTCTGAATTGACAGCCTTTATTCAATAAGTGTTAAACACAGCTCATCAAATTATTCTGTGGTTCAGTGTTTCCATGAGCATTTGTATTGTTCTTCCAAATTTTGATTAAAAAAAAAAAGTGGAATGAAAACAGGCATTTCAAATGCTTCAGCCCTTTTTAACCAGCTATAAGACTGGGAGGAGAAAGATTTCAAAATGTCAGTGGAACTTTTGCAAACTATTTTAGCAGGCATATTTTCCTTCTTGCTTATTAATTCAGCTTGGATAAGTGGCAGTTTCTATCGAAGCATAGTTCTAGGTGTATAAAAACCATAGATATCACACAGAATGATAGCTAAATTCTAGAGAAACTGATGAGATAAAGATAAAACAAACGAAAAGCAGAATTCAGGCCACTTTGGATGATTATAGTAGGAATTATAATTGTATAATAACTGGTCTGACTTGCTAGGGTTTCCTCAAAGCCTAGCTTACAGCAGTGACAGCACAGTTAGAGCAGATGAAGATAGGATTTGCAGTTCCTGATTAAGGGTCTCAGTCTGACACTTTGCAGCTATGGCTGGGCCCAGAAAATTCAGTTCATATTTGTCTGGAATATTTTGACGTTTGTCCAAATACAAGAAAAGGAATTAATCCAACCAGAATTTTTCTTATAAGGGGCTGTTGGTGTTCTGTTGAAGAGGGCTTGTTCCTGCAGACTTGCCAGGCAACACTGGCTTCAGTGAGAGGCATTACCTGAGTGAGAAATGTAAGATTTGGCAAGTCAAAACCTTTTAAGTGCTCCGTACTGTTTTGCTGCGGTGATACACAGAATACTAGCTGGCCACATCAGCTGCCTTGCAGAGAAACAGATGTGTTAGGGTAATGTAAATTGGTATTTACAGATTGTCTTGGGGAAAAAAAAAAGGAAAAATAAATTCTGTTTTAAAAAAAAATAATCCCAGAACAAAACAGTTAAAAGGACACTTTGTTTTGTATTTTTGCTAACCAATTTTAGAGTATTCTTAATGACAAAATATTTGTTTTAATGTAGGGGCAAAAGGGGCAGACAACAATTAGACATAAAAAGCCGTATTTCTTCTACTATTTCATGGCAGAAAAGAGTCAGGTTCACTTTTTCTAAAGTGTTAAATATCGGCAGATTCCATTTTGCAGATGATGGATGTGACTTTATGCTGTATGTCTAGAGGGAACAGCACCAAACGTACAGCACCGTCTTCTCAAATGAGCATTCATTTTGTGTTGGGGTCCGAGTTCCATTTCCAGAGATGTCTTGGATGAATTATTCTCCTGTATGGACTACTTCTCTTATTTTTTTTCCAAGTGTCAAAGATCAGGTTTTCTTGATCCAAGATCTCCAGAAATTCCTTCTACATCAGAAGAGAGTTTGGAAAATGCTCTCAACCTGATTGATTGGGGTTTTTTTTCCATTACTCTTCCCGTGATGGTATGATGGGAGTTTATCTGGCCATTGAATTACAGTGACTTAAGGAGGCACACAATTTTCCCATCCTACAGGTCATTCTGCTCTTGAACGTGTCCTTAATCTGGCATTGTGATCTTGACACTTGGGTGGGGTTTTTTAGATGTCTGGCGCTCATATCAATAACATCTCAAACACGCTTAAGTCAGAACTGCCTGCTTGCTTATCTCAGAATAGGATGACATTGGGGAGCAGTGGTATAGGGAAGTTGGCAGGCCTCAGGAAGCCAAGAAAATCTGGTTTGGGTTAAATCTAAGCAACAAGAAATGATGCACATTCGGTTTTGATTGCTATATTGAGCTGGCTTGTGCAGCAGTTTGCACTGTTAATCGATATCAGAGAATTGTAGATGCCTTTTTAAATGGGGGAATTATCCCAGTTAGAGAGGATGTTCTAGAGTTAATGGCTTCTGATGTGGAAAAAGCCTGTGTATTGTTGCGATGGTGTGCATGTTCAAATCTCCTTGAAAAGCTCATGGCAGAACTACCCTGACTTGGCACTGCTAAGAAGAGCAGGATGACCCGAGTCATGGGCCCACAGAGATTTTGCTTTAAGTTTTCTGTTTGGAGTAAACTGTAATTCTAACATCACTTTCAAGTTTATACTGCAAGAGGGGAAGAGAGTTGCAAAGAAAGGAGAATGCTTAAACTGTAATGAAACATTGTGTTGTGAGCTCTTTTTTTACACATTTTTTTCAATCTTCACAATACTCTGGGGAATATTACCTTAATTTTCATCTGGAGTGAAATAAGTATTTTACATAATTGTGAGGTTTAGAAAATCGAGGCAAAACCTATAACTCTCTGGGAAGGGAACTAGAGGTCTACAGCCTCTTTGCAGTGCAGGGGGTGGGGGGTGGGTGCCACATTTGGATGTAGGAGGTGGGAGGAAAACTACATTTTGTCTGAAACGTGCATGGAGTATGGCAATGGCCTTTGGGACATGTACTTGCCTGGGAGTAGGATGCTCAGGTGAGGTACCGTGGAGAGAGGAGTTTTGTATTAGTGGTGCTCACACGCTCTCTGTGTTTCTCTTCCAGTCAGATGGGACGATCCTGGCTATCGCTTTGTTGATCCTCTTCCTCCTGCTGGCGTTGGTTCTTCTCTGGTGGTTCTGGCCTCTTTGCTGCACAGTGGTAAGTGATAGAAATTGTTAGCACAAAACAGCAATTCAGTGTTGCCTGAATGTAAGAAATGAGTGGGAAGGAGGCAAAGTTTTCCAGTAAGAAAGAACACAGGACCGGTCATTGAACAAGACAGCATTTCTTCCATTGCTGGCACTGTTTTGTGCTTGTATTTCATCTGCCTGACCTTTGGATTATACCCATGAAATAGCAATGTTGCTAATATACAGATCTTGTCAGAAGCCTTTTAGTCTTATTTATTGTTGACAAAATGGAAACAGTTTGCAGAAATTTATTAGTTGCCATGCCTTTTTAGGAAGGAATGGCTTTTCTGGTTTTTCTGACTCCTGTGTCAGTATCTCAGTGCTGGAGGGCTCCTGTAGAAGGACAAGCATGCTAAACCCTGGCTGAAGTCCTTGTTCTGCCTCAGATACAAGGAAAAGACATATCAAAGTGTGCAAATTTTTGCAAGATTAACTTTTTTTCCTGGCTCACCATGTCTGAGAAGCACTTTGAAATATCCAAATGACAGTTTCAGTAGAAGTATGATTATGCTTCACTGAGCATTATCTTTCCTCTCTGCTTTTTCACAAAATGTTCTGCAGAGTTAAAAAGCACAGTCACAGAGTTAATAATAAAAAAAAGGCAGACAGAAATAGGGAGAAAGTAGAGGCCAAGGGAGGCAAGAAGGAAACCACAGGACTTTGGACAAGCTTTTCTCTCACACATGACCCTGCTGTTTGTCTGCAAGGACCTGTCATACCCCTGTACATCTCTGCATACCTCTGTACATCTCTGCTGATCATCACCTAAGGCTGCCTTTTCCAATGAAGATCAGGGCAAAGGCTGGTTATTGTGGAACATATAATACAGCGAAGCTCTGCTCTTGCTTTGGGTCTTATTTGTGCTGCAAATATAGAACAAAAATTAGGGATGGACATATGTCAGCAGAATTGGAGTCCGGTTTTGGAGGCTGGCTGCGTGTAATGTTTCAGATACTTCTTTTAAGACTGCCCAAACTGGCTTCAGTTTTCTGATTTTAAATCACTTACCCAGTTCTGTAAATTTGCACCATGTTATACCAAATCGGTGCTGAGAGCTTTGGAGCCACAAACTGCAGGAGCAGTCACATTTGAGGATGAGTCTTTGTGTTGAGATGTATTTCTCTATCCAGAGCAAGGATGGGAATCTCACAAGAAGAATCTTAGTTGTCTATTTCTGTTTCTGGGTGGAAATGCGAAGGGGTAAAATGCTTCTTTTCCCAGTAGCTGAGCGCCTCTGTCCTGAGATGAAAACCAGAAGGGAAAAATTATTTATTTTGACTTTTCAGAACAATAAAAAAAGAGTTCTAAAAATGGACAAAAGATTAGCAGTGTGGTAGGTTGCTCGGAGTTATTTGTCTAAACTAGATGGCACATTCCCAGAGAAGTTTGGCCAGCTTCTTTGTTGGCACATCTGCTTAGAAGTCAATGGAGATGTGCCCTATACAGACGTTTACAGTGGGATTTGGTGGAGAATTGAGGTGATAGAGAGGAAAGGCTCTAAGTGATGCTGCCACTTTAAGGTTCTGTTACAGGCGAAAGATGAAGCTCATAGGAAAAGGGCATAAATAAAAGGAGCAGGGCATGGAGTAAAGGGAATATAGAGCTGTGTGTTGCGAGGGTAGTATGGGTCTGCTGCAGTGGAATGATGTGAGGATAGTGGTCATATAACAGTGTTCTTGAAGTGTGAGAAATACAGTCCGGATAAGCAAAGTAAGTGCAGCAGAGATAGGGAATCTCTTGTCCACATGAAGCTTTATAAGCTTAATATTTTTCAGATTTGAATTCTGTACTTAAAAAATTTGTTGGAGATAAAAGCTTTTCCTCACCCTCTCCCCTCCTTTACCTCCCACATTCCGTCTTAGCAAGGTCTTCAAGTGGGGACTATCTCACTGATACTTTTCAAATGTAAGTCAAACACATCCCTCTGCTTGCTGGAAAGATTTTAATTCAAGAGCCTGTATGAAATCTCTTCCATCTCTCCGGGATGGCAGTCTGGTATATTTGGCATTGCAACAACAACTAAGATACCTCCTCACTGTGTGTTACTTACCCAAAGATTCTGTAAAATTAAAGACAAATCTGCAGAGGAATACCCAGCCTGTTTGGCTTAGGGTAGGGAGAAAGAGAACAGAGCAGTGCTTATTTACTAGTTTGGTAATGGCATTAAGGAATGCAGTGTTGTCAGAAGCACAGAGTGAATTAAGGGCAGAGGAACTGGCTTGCACAACAGACAAGAGAGGCAGGCAAGCAATAACCTCTAATAATCAAACCGCAGACCCAGAGACACTGCTGTGGATTCAAGCCCAGGGACGTTTCAGAGATAATTGTGTTTGTGTCCAGGGGAAAAAGAAAAAACACAACAAACTTTTTTTCTTATGAAGTATAAATTTGTTTCTGAGTGACAGGCACATTTCTAAACTCTGAAATTCCTCTTGGCATGCTTTTTAATTAAATAGGAATCATTATTATCCAGCAGTTCTTCAGGAAAGACACCAAGCCAGCTTCATCCCTGGAGTAAATGGACTGAAGTCAATAGACTTACTCTGGAGATTTTTCTGGAACCCAGTATCTTCTTGGCATGCACCCATAAAGAAGTGCTGTTTCCAAGTGTATCCAAGTTTATTGGTCTCAGAAGTATTCTGGGATGAAGTCTGGAATTTACCACTCACTTTACAGTAGATGCAGTTGTTGCTTAGTGGATCAGAACAACAATAAGGTCTTTGCTGTCCCTGATACCAGCACAGACAAAATTTCCCTTGATATCTGCGGGGGGATATTACAAAAGCATGGGAGCCAAGTGCTAACCTTTCAAAAGGTTTCAAGGATGTTTATTCAACAGCAGCGGAAAACAAAGAGAGAGAATTCTGCTAAGCTGACATCCCCAACACTACACACATTAGAAGAATGATGGCAAATACAAAGACATCTATAACAGGATGACCCCGCTTTTCCTGAGCAGAGCATATCTGCAAAACAGCAGATGCCAGATCCTGGCCTCGTTGATGTTAGTGGGCATTTTGCTGCTTTCTTCCCGTTCCCCCACTTCCCTGAACAGAGCGTAATCTCAAGGAATTTGCGCAATCATGGTAGTAACGGTGTGTGCAAGAGGCTATTTAAGTGCCCAAGGGTGAAATTGTTCTGGATAGGAGGCCAACATCAGGCTTAGGTTTAATATTGATGTAAACCAAATAGATTTTAATGTAGATGTAAGCCAAATAGATAATAAGCCTCCAAAACTCTCTTAAGGAGGATTTTGCAGGCACATTGTTAGAGCGGCTTAAAAATGGAGCTGGTTAAAGTGTCTTGGATGCATAGTGAAGGCATAATTAATACAATAGTTGGAAGGCTTGTCTGTGCTGGGAGAGTTTCCCTGTGCCAATACGCAGCACCACACTGAGCAAGTGTCTCCCATAGACCTGTAAAATTGGCAGGCTGAGGGAGTTGTGTTTGGGCCATGCTTTGCACCTGAACAGGATCTTCATGAAAGATTAGACCTGGCATAGCTGCAGTGGTGGCTACGGTCAGCCTGCCTCAAGCCTTGGGCTGAATCTTAGCTAGGGCAGTCCAGGGGATAAAATGCAGAGGATATGAGTGGAAATATCTCCCAAGGCAGCTGAGACTCTGAGACTCAAAGCATTTCCCCACATGCTTGTACATCACATCTCTTTACAGTTTTATGAGGTACACATGAGTCTTTGCCTCCCCTATGCATCCATACAGTGTGGCCTGAGGGGGAGGGCATAAGAAGCTGGTCTGTTAATTGCCCACTTAGAATATATACACCATCTCACTCCTTTTTACACTGCAGCTTTTTTAAATGCTGGGGTGTGGCTAGCATATAAATGAGGTGTTGGTGTTTAAGTGTCTAACACAGTTTTAACTTTAAAGCTGCTTTCTGGAAGGAAGCATGGAAGAACCCAGCAATTTGTTTGGCGCTCAGTCTATACTGCAGCTGACCAGAAGTTTTGGAAACAAATGACTGGATGGAGAAAATACAGAAAATATATATTAAAACCACATGAAAATCATGGCTAAACTGGAGGAAGAGGAGGGGAGGAAATGCATAGACTCTACAGCAACCCTGAAGAGTCATAAAATTACATGGTGCAGGTTGGCTTGACGGAGATTACTTACAAGGGTCCACGTATTCTGATTCCTACCCGCTCGCATGTGCATGAGGCACAGTTTTTCTGCAGTTGTTATGATTTTGGGAGAAGAAAGTGCGGGGTCATGAATCATCTGAAACACTACTGAGGCAAACCAAGAGAAAGAGACGCAAACGTGCAGGCAGAAATTGCTTGTGGACTCTGCAGTCCCTGCCTTCGGTTCGGATCTGAGCTGTTGAGGCAAGCATCCACCTAGTATAATGTGGTACAGTTTCACTGAATTTATTGGAGCTTAATGTAGCATGTAACATCCAAGCACTGAATCCATGCATGCTGCCACAAATGAGTGTCTTCATTTACAACACAGTCAAATCAAAAACATTTGCAGGTAGTGCTGTTATTGTAGGTTTAAAGTAGTGTAAGTAGTGGAACCTGACTTTGCAATTGCTGTGCACAAAGGGCAGCAGGAGGCTAAAGGCAGTCGTCTTAATCACCCAGAGTACCCACAACAGTTCACGGTTCCTCTCAGCCTCCTGTCAGTCAGATCAGGATGGATTAGATATGGATATAAAGCTCTACAACTGGACATCTTTAAACAGGCTAGCATGAATCCTGGAAATAACGTAGCAGGGGCATTTTGCCTGGACTAATACCATCAGTCCTACAGCAGCCCAGGTAGAGAAGTGGGCTAATAGAACAGTGTGTGTGCCAGGCACTCAACTAGGGTGCTTTAACGTGCTGCTGTAATGTGTCCTTACCAAAAAGTTAAAGCCCAATTCTCCAAAGTGTCCATCAGATGGGGTGTCCAAACTGAAAGATCTTCATTGAGTTACCTTTTTGGAAAGTACTAAGTGTTGCCCTC